AACATCTTAATTTTTATGATGGTACATGCACACAATTAATACTTAAAGAAATACAGTGCATGAAGTTAATGTCATTCAAATAATGAACTCAACTCTCCCTCTCACTACACTTTCCTTTGGCTCTTCCTCTCAGAAATTTTTTGGGGAAAACCACTAGAATTTTAATAAATAATACCTCAAACTAAAGTTAGGATAATACAATTGACATTGCAGGATTATGTAAGACCAGGAATATTTTGAATATAAATGTCATATATTTTAAAAGATAACAATTACCCTGAAAGAAAAAATTTTATCTAAAATTTGTATATTAATGAAATATCTAAGTATTCAAAATGATCACCAAATTGTAGAAATTCCAGCAATATAAATACTATTCTGACCCGGAGTAATTTGTATGAATTTTGTAGGCTAAAACAAATATCTTCAGTTAATACATCTTTAATCTTACAGCACTATCTGTCAATCAAAGTACACACCCTCCCCCTCTTCCAACGGCGGTCAGTCAACCCTCCCCACCAACATTATCCCCTTCCAGGAGTTTTTTGTGATACTTGACAACAATGCCTCAGACTAAGTTAGGATAATATAATTGCTGGATTCAACATTACATGGCTGCTTGCCCAGGCGGAGCAGGCGGGAGGCCGAATCTAAAAATAGCGTCGAGCCAGACACTCTCCATAAAGGGGTACGCACATGTGTTGAGCATCCGGGTTCAGCAGGGTACAGCGTGGTCGTGGGAAACACGGAATGTGGGACGCGTAAAGTGAGTTGACTTGTGTGTGTGTGTGTGTGTGTGTGTATATATATATATATATATATATATATATATATATATATATATATATATATATATATATATATATATATATATATATATATATATATATATATATATATATATACACACACATATATATATATATATACACACACATATATATATATATATACACACACATATATATATATATATATACTACATATATACCAAATTTCCGTAAGGGTGAATTTTTCGGCAGTATAACAATTTTTCGGGTCATAATTTCAAAATTCCATGTTGGCGAATTTCCGTAACCCCGGATTCTCTGATGCAGGGGATGCCTGTACTAATACCAAGTTACTGTAATAACACTGTTTTTGTACGCAAGTAAAAACCAGTTCTATTAAGAGTATACTTTACTTTTTCCTTTCTCTGATGCCTCAGATTCACAGCCATCCGTATAGCCTCTTCTCTTGGTCTTTTGTCTTGAAGTATAACTTATAAGAGCTGCCATGGCTTCTTCACTAGGGGTGAGTGGTGTTATCTCAGGGTCATTAACACCTAAAATAATAAAAATTCATTAATATTCACTGCATAAATTTCTAATATGTCCCTACAATAACATTAAATATACAATCACAAAACTTCATCATTAATCTCTCTGAATAGCCATTCCAATTACCCTTCCCTCTTCCTCACTCTGTCCCCTCAAAGTGGGAGACTTAAGTACAACAACTGACCACTAATAGTCAGATCTGCCTAAACAGCCTTTGACCTACAGTGAGGAGGAAAGTCTGTTATATCAAGGGTCCATTAGATGTAAAACTTCCATCTAACAAACTACTATATATAGATATTAAAGTTCGTTATATTGAGGGTCTGTTAGATGTGAAACCCCAGCTAACAAATTATAAGTAAAGGGAGGTCCATTATATGGAGGTTTCACTGTACTCGGGTATCCTGTTTCCCCTTTTGATTTCATGTCATTCCTCCATTTCTTAATAAGTTTCAGCTGACAAAAGACAGAGCCAAGAGAGGAGGGAGGGTTTCTAAGCTGCCTGATTATGGGCACTACCAGAAAAGGGGATTTCAGGATAAATCCTCCATTTCTGCATTTCACTTTAACATCAGGTGGCCCTGTTACAAAAAAAAAGAAATAATGCTAATAGAATAGGGAGGAGGTGGTGCTACAATAGCTCAAGGATTAGAGAGACTTGTTCCTATCATATTTTAGGGCACATGAGTCACTTTTTTGTCTGAAAAAAAAAGGCAAAAAAAATCAGCGTGCATCCTATATATGAAGTTGCAGTCTCCCATATGCTAATGAATGCCCCAATTGCTGTCTCTAGTAGGCTAAATTTTACATAACCTAACTCCAGAATTAAAAATGTTATTATTATTTTAATTAATTCAAAAAATAATTATTGTAAATATAAAAGCTCGATTTATAACTACAGGTACTGTAATGATGATGATAACCTACACGGCAGACACCCATCTCTTCAGAGTTAGCTAAGCAGTACCGGTAACCATTTCTGAACTCTTACAAGCATTACAATCTATCAATCCCGTACCTACACATTTATTTTTAAATCTACAAATACTTGATACAAATGAAGATTTACAGATAACTTTCTTTTCACATTTGCATCTGTTAACATCGCTGGCAGCTTTATAGCCAGGTTAGACTCATCACTGTAACCCCCAAGCTACTGGGCCAGGCTGTGAGGTGTTATGGTTGTTTTTCATCTCATATTTTTGGGTAGATATACGTAAATTACTTTATTTATTTTTACTCATTTACATGCACACACCATCCTACATACATATTGTGAAAAATGTAAAAGAAATAATTGTCCTAAGGGCAAACACAAAGGGATTATACATTTCTTTCCACACGAGTTAGCTGGCTCAGTGGGGGAGCGGGAGGAGGCGAGGGGTGTGCAGGGGAGGGGGGTGTTGACAACGCGAATTGGCTGTAACGCGATTTATGAATAGAGGAACGATATTTATATAACGCGAACGCTTGTTTGCTGTAACGCGATTTTTGCTTACTATTTCTCCAATTTTGTGGTATTAACTGTGAATATGGTAAAGAAGAATATCTCCAAGAAGCGTTCTGGTGACCGCATTCCCAGTGATGATCGTAAAAGAAAGGCTATAACCCCTGAAGAGAAGCTCGATGTTATCTACCTCAAAATCACCCTTCTCCCCCATCAAGTTATATTCATATATTTTCAAGGTAAAGTGTTACATTTACTGTATGATTTCATTATTAGATATGAATGTAACATTTATTTAGACTGTGCTATCCTTTGCGTTATGCTAACTACTAAATTTTTTTCGATTTCAAGTAGTAATCTGCACCTAACCCTATTTTCTCCATAAGCCCTGTTATTTCTATTACGCGAATTTCTATAACACGATGTTTTACAAGAACACAACTATCGCGTTATAGCAGAACTGACTGTAATGTTATTTAATGTTAATAAATGGAACAATATAAGTAGCTAACCATTAATGGTAAAGGAAAAAAGTGACACTGCGCTTATGTAAGTGCGCACATGTGAAAACACATCGTCATTACTCTACATAAGAATATGAAAGCAACACTTATTCACTGCTCATATATATATTAAAGGGTTAAATGTTGTACTCTGTATAGACAAACAGAGAGAAGGAGCCGAAATGCCGGATGTAAACAAACCTTAATTTCCCGCGGCTTTGTTGTTGTTGCTTTTTTACGGGGATTAGCCCACCCGGGCACAGGTCACTGACCCACATTGGGGCCTGAGGGGCGAAAATGTAATACTCCTGCAATAATAATAATAATAATAATAATTCAGATAAAAAAAAAACTAAAATCGTTCCGGACCACGGGAGTTTCTGGACCACAGAATGCCGGACTAGAGAGGTACAACCTGTACTTTATATGCAAATGGTGACTGTGAAACTTTCATTTGGCTTTTATTTACTGGTTTGGCAATACACTATTTTTTGCTAGGCATTAACATACCTAGGTATAAGCTAGGCGCCGCATTCTGGACTATATCACAAAAACTGGTTTTTAGAATAAACCGGCTTTTTTGTTGGAACTTATTTATTGGTAATACTTTATTCATTCCTCATATTTACTGAATACATTATTTTAAGAAAACTCTGGCTACAGGAAGAAAATCCACAAAAAAGTTTTTTCCTAAATACTCCTTGTTATGGTCTTACATTCTGTAAAATACGGTACTTTACAGTATACAGTGGGGTCTGCTATAACGAACGGATCCTACTACGAATATTCCTATAACGAACGGTTTTACCTATAAAATTGAGAATGCTATAACGAACGAAACTCCTACAACGAACATTATTTAAATTTTTTTTTTTTTTTCTAATTTATTGTTTTTTTATTACAAATATTAATGATATTCTTTATTTCAGGGGTTTAGATGCATATTTATGCACTTTTTACAATTTTTTTCAATTTTATATTATATTTTTCAGTGTTAAGTGGTTGTATTTGGGGGCCTGGAACGGATTAATCCTATAACGAACGAATGCTATAACGAACAAGGTTCTAGAACCAATTAGATTCGTTATAGCATACCCCACTGTATGAGTTAACCCATTGTCATCAGGTTGAGTGGGTAACACTCTTTTACTGTGAAGATTTGTTGTTATCCTGGAACCTCCAGGAACGAATAAGCCACTGGAATTCAGAGCCTCAATTAATAGTGAAGAATTATGTCCTGTCCAAAACAATTCAGTTAAAATTGTTTCCTGGGCATGAACCACATATAAGCCAGTTTCACCAAGGACAGCTGACAAAGCCATGAGATGCTTGCTTCCAGTACAGTCCTCATGCCAGCAGCATCTGGTGTTCTTAGGGCCAAGCAGTCACCCATATAAAAACAGTACTCACCCGACCCAATGTTGCTTAACTTCGCTGATCAGACAACAAGTGGTGTTTCCAATGTGGTACAGTTTCATCTATTATCAAAAAACCCATAATATCCCATTACCAAACTTAAAAGGTAAGGGAAACAGTATTGGTAACCCTTATGAAGTTTATGACCTAAGAATGAGGAAAAAAGGCACTAACAGGTAAAGACATGGGAAGAGGCTTCAGATGTAGTTAAAGTTTGAGTTAAAATCAATTCCTGCTAGGTTGAAAAGGATCAATCAATTTTGTAAATTCATAACACATTATGGGTATCCATTATTTAGCGATCGGGATGCGTTCATGAAAAAAAATTGCTACGTACAGGGTAATGAACAGTACGTACAGTGCTCAATAACACGTAAAAGTTACAATAACAGCGATACACAGCAATAGGAATGATGCACAGCGATAAAAAATGTACGGATCAATCACTCGAGCACACAATATCACAATAGTACAAGGTAATGAACAGTCCGAATAGTACTCAATAACATGCCAAATTCACAACAATAACAGCAATGTACAACAATAGGAACTGTGTACAGCGATCGATAATATATGGAGCAATATAATAAAGCAAAGAAGTCAATGTTCAAAGACAGGCGATAAGCAACAGTATAGTAACGCCGTGGGTTGATAGGTGGCGCGCCAGTAGCATACCCCTACAATAAGAGTGTTAGGGTACCAACCCTGGGGACAATGAAAGGCCGCGTCCATAGTCTGTTTATTAGCGAAGGTGACAAGGGGGGACAGACATGTCCACACTGATTGGAGGCTGAACCAGAACTGACAGTTGAATTCCGCTGTTGGTGGACCCATACACTGTTGCCAAACTGGCACATATCCCAACAAAGAGGTTTCCATATAACAAACCTAGATATGATATGTGCCCCTTCTAGTTACCAAAAATTTAATTTCTGCATTTTGCTGAAAAAGCTATACTGTACAGTGAACCCTCACTTTACGCGGTTAATTCAACCCACAGGGTACCGCGGAAAGTGAGAAACGCGGAATGTGGGACCGCGTAAAGCGAGGGTTGACTGTATAATGATTTCTAAAATCTTTTCTAAAATTTAGGTTCGCTGAATCATAGGTACAGTATCTTATATATGGTCTCCCTATCCAAATACATCAGCGTCGACCTTGAAAATCCAACATTGCTCGTTTTGGTCCTGGAGACATCACATTTTGCATTTAATTTACCGTACACCACTTTATTTTGTTAAATACACCTTTTTTGTATTACTCATGATTATATGATAGTGGATAGATAGGTAAATAGAAAAAGGAATTAAAAACTATTTTTTTCTTTTTTACTTACATGTGGCAATTCTAAATGAATGTGACTAGCAGAGGCCTCCGCTCCACAACAAGTATGCTATACATGTATTGAGTTTCAGACATCACTTACATAAAATAAATAAAATTTACATAAATCTACACATACAGTATTTTACTTTTTATTGTATTCAAATTTGTAGATATTATTCACGGAGGTAATTCTTAGGAGCACGCTATTATCGGATACGGCACAACGGTACAGTTTTACCACATATACGCTGTGACAATCCCGCCACTACACCATGTTGTGCTGATACTGAACCCTAAAATACTGACAAATTAC